CCACCGAGGACTTCCTGCCTACCTCTTCATATATCCACCATTATTACAGAAACATACTTATATCAAAGTATTATTAACAAATTCTTAATGCTTTTGTACTTCTCTTGTTCTTCAATAAAGTCAAAGATAAAACTATACTTAAAACTTTAGAACTATTCTTATAATGATTAATGGAGCCTTGGTTAGTACCAATACAATAATATATTAATATATAGATATATACTTTTGATAAGTTTATGGACCAAAGTGATGAATTAAATTAATCCGGATAGTCCGGATTAAAAAATAAATAAATGCTTAAAGAAGATAATGAAATGAAAAAGACAAGGAATGTTGTATTTAGGAATCTTGTAATGTTATTACAAGAGATTAGATGATGTCTTAATAATACAATAATGACTATATTTATACTAATCCGTCCTCTAACTAATTCCACGAGAATAGGGCGCGTGATTGGGACCCCCTGACCAAGTCCATAGTCAAGGTCAAGGTTGGCTTCCTGATTGTTCTCGTTTTCCTTCTCGGGTTGGTCCGCCCCAACCACATAACATATTATGTGACTGTAATTAATTCACATATTTTGTACCTGCAGTTAACAATTTATGTGTATGTAATTATCATGTTATGTGTCTATAATTGCCATGTGATGTACTGTTTATAGGTACATAAACAGTTAACTGCAGGTACAGAATCTTAAGATTATTTTTGGACAAGGATCCACAATACAAAGTAACTATTAATCCATTATATAATTCAATTGTTATATTTGTGCGCCCTAAAAATCTCTTATTTCGTATGTACATAATTGTATAGTAGAATACACATAAACTCTTAACATAACACACATAATCTTAACATATACATAATACACATAAACTTTTAACATAATACACATGAATTCTTAACATAATACACATAAACTCTTAATATAATACCATAAACTCTTAACATAATACACATAAATTTTTAAGACACACAATGCATTTTGCACGATATAATTTGCCTTATATGCCTCGTTAAGTATGATAGAGTGATGTACAAATTAACCCATGATTCGTTGCTATTTGATGTTGTGGCCCAATTAAGTTAATTAATTGACTTAATTTATTAGGCTAATTATTTGGCCCATTTGTAATGTGTGTTATCGTAATGAAAAATACTACATGTACTCCCATTTTTTACTCTTAATTTTTATTCATTCTCACAAATTCTTGATGTAGACACATTTCTTGAGACTCACATCATAAAAATAGCCAATCTTTGTTTGCCATGTCATGGGGTAAAAGTGAGGGAGTAAAATTTGGAAGTACATGTAACAGAACTCTATGGTAATAGATAAATGTTCATTTTTAGTATATTGAAAATTCATTTTTAATGTAGTGAATGTATGTTCATTATTTGATAGTAGACAAAATAATGAATATTCAATAATCAGTACACAAACAAATGAACTTTCAATATGTCGCTGGTACACCTTATAAGGTGAACCATGATCCATGGTATACTGATTGAATTGTTACCTTGTGGATTAAGATCCATCATCTGCATGGTGGATCATATTGAAATTATGTACCTCAGTTAACAACTTAACATATTATGTAAAATTAGTTAATAAATTATGTACATTCTATTTATTTACATGTATAAAATTTATTAATTGAATGTACATAATATGCTAAGTACATGTATATGATTTGAATGTCGTTTTGAAAAAAAAATCCATAATGTAAAGTAGACCCTAGTTTGTTGTATAATTTGATGTGCTATGGAGTATTGTCTTGCTAGAATGTTTTTTTCTTTCTTTCTTTTTTTGTTAATTTCCTTTGGTTGGCAAGACTTTGGAAAAACAGTTATATTGCAGACCATGGTGCAAGTTGCTGCATGCACCCAACACATTCTTTTAAAAATAAAATAAAAATAAAATAATATTCAACTTAAATTTATTTTTCTCCTTTGCTTTTGAACAAATAAAATTGATGTATAAAATATATATCATTAAAAGCTCTAATTGAGGTTTTTTAAATGATACTATATTAATATTTTTTAAAAAAATTAAATTAAATCTATAAGTACATAAAGTAATTACTTTAGTGTAATGTTTATGAATATTAAACTTTGTTTTTAAGAATATATAGAAAGAACGTAACATTATGAACCTACTACAACGTGAATGAAAATATATATGATGTACCTGTAATTTAGTTGTTATTTACATTAAGGTTTAGGTACTCTTTGGTTGTGATGTTGAAGTACCCATTGCACCTCTACTGATAATTAAAATGAGTCCTCAAACAAAGGATTGGAATATATATATATATATATATATATATATATATATATATATATATATGGTTTCAACTTATTACCATCAATAATTAGGTATTATTTAGTATCTAAGACTAGGAGACTTAGCTTGTTTACTTTAAGATTTGTAAATTATCGTTTCAACGAACTGAGTGTGTTTCTTATACTTGAGAATGATAAGGATGAATACAATCTTAAACATTTGGACTTGTGTATAGTGTGATCAAGAAATACAAATGATTTTCTACTTACATGCCATAACTAATAAATTGCCTGATGCATTAGCAAAGTGGGGGGGGGGGGGGGGGGGGGGTGGATTAGTATTCGTTGAAATGACATGTGAACAAATTGTGGATAATGTCCCCATAACATAAAATAAAGTGGTGGATCAACTGGTTCAAAAGACATAGTCCCTCAAAATTGAAGGGGGAGAGTTGGAGAACTACTAGCAAAACACATAGGACATGTGCCAACTATTATTGTTGATCAAAACAATGGTGTTCATGGGAATATTGAGAATATTGAAACTTCGATGCTCAGTTATAATAATGATATTTGGAATATATCTAAAATAATCATCAATAATATTTTCACTTATTTCATTGGGAGTGAGATCATGAATGATGATCTAAAGAAAATCTTACCCTTCTCTTTGTTTGTATCATCTATATATTACTTCTATAAACTTAATTTAATCTAAATCTAATCTAAAAATATAATAAGTGTGAATGAAAGTTATACTCCTGATTTATGTCCGTTTTTTCCGTTAAGTTTTTTTTTTTGTACATTATGTTATAAATGTTGTACATTAAAATATTTTGGACAAACATACCCCTACCGTTATAACTTCTGTTATCTTTTACACTATTGTTACCATGCACATGCATCCACTATATATTTTCTTATCTTCTTCATTAATAATAATATATACACATTAAATATTTGAGTTATATGTTAATTATTACATAAATATAAATATCAAATTTATAAAAATGATTTACATTATTATTATTACGGAGTATTATTTAGAATAATTTAAATATCTAAAATTTAAATAAATTTAAAATTTTAATATAATGTATTAATATTGTGCACCTATTTTTTGCGCATCGCGTATAAAAAATACTAGTTATTTGGATATATATTAATAACTTATATGAGGTTATATAACTTCTACAAGCATTAGTTACATGGAAATTTAGGTTTTGTCAATAGGGTTAGGAACATATGTTTTGCAACTAGGGGAATTGATATATTTTGTATTTCATGATGAGAAAAAAGACCTTAGTTGTTGTTGGTTTATTTGAGTTAGGGAAAAAAGACCTTAGATCTGGTCGTCTTCTCCACTGGAGAAGGCGGCAGACGGCCGCTTGCCGCCTTCTCCATTGGAGAAGGCTGGAGAAGGCGGCCGTCCGGTCGTCTTCTCCGGTGGAAGACGACCGGACGGCCGGAAAATTAATTCGACGGCCGCCGGAAAAATTCGCCGGTGGCCGGAATCCGTCACCGGTGGCCGAATTTCGTCGCCGGAATTAAAATGACCGGTAAAAACAGGTCATTTACCGGTTTTTGGGCTTCATTGATCAAATTTAGCATGTTTGAGTGTTTAATTGACCTTTTTTAAAATTTAGGGGGCTAATTGACCTTTAGGGTAATGTTTAGGGGTCTATTTGACCCTTTTCTCAAAAAAAAAATAAACTTACAATCTTTTTTACCATAGTTACTTGCATCATGGTAATGGTGAATTAAGAATGACAATTCTACTTGTACCTAACAAGTACCCATAACTCCATTCTAATAGATTGTAAAATATTCGTATCATTTGGATAGTGGAGATTTTTTATACTAGATTACTAACATAGGTATGGAAGCTTCTGTGAAAATTTTGATTAAATGATGTTTAAGTTTATATTTATCATTGTAAAATATGTTAACATATTAAAATTGAAATCCCTTCAAAAATATTAAATTAAAATTTTAAAATATTAAAAATTTTAGTTGAGCTCAAACTCGAGTTTTTAGAATTAAATATAAAAATTTAAACAAGATAAGAAAAAGGAGATAAGTTAAAAAAAAAAAAACCTCAATAGGACTAGCTCAAAATTGAGCGAGCGGACCCAATTGACACTCTTGCCCTTTAGCTCCACCTTAGTATAATCAAGGGGAAATTTTGATCCTCATGGGTAACTTAATTGATTATACGTGACCGATTACATTTAAAAACGCATGGTCGAATATTGACAATCGTAATATGAGAGTTTCACCCTTATCTTGTAGGGTGTCTTTTTGTGAGTACCCCTGATACTAATTTTTTACCTAATAAATTTGTTGAATTGTCGGGAGTTTGAACATGCTCTCGTATGGAAAAACCAATTTGATCAGCATTTTGTCTCTTAATTGGGTTGACTCGGTGTGAACTGAGATTATTCTAAGTATGATACGAGTTTAAAAGTGTCTCCTAAAATTAGGACCTGCTCAGAACACCTCGTGGTCTTAAAAAAAAAAAAAACTTATTTACAATTTGTGTCAAACTTGAGTGTAGGGTCTCCGCGAGAGATTTTACATTTTGTAAGGGTAAAATTTGGATAGTTGTTGTCCCCTTCGATTTGGCAGTTGGGTATGAATAAAAAAAATAAAAAATAAAAAATAAAAAATAAAAATCCCAAAAAAGAGGTTGATAGTTGCGTAGTCGGTTGTCCCCTTCAATTTCCATGGGTGAAAAGCGAAATGGGTAAATTTTTTGCAGAAATTATGAAATGACCTCTCCAACTCTGAGATCTAAATCTCACAAGCGACAACACTGTGATTTAGTAGAATCTAAGATACGACTCCACAGACCCTATTTCTTCTTCGCCGTCTCGAATTTGGTTCCCAAATGCTATTCAACAGTTTCTGAGATTTTGCGTATAATTCTCGTTCCGTTTCATCATCCAAATAAACCCCTCAATGCCCCCGCCGGATAAACTTTCCCGCCGCTTCTCGTTCTTCGGCTACCCTGCAGGTCCCGGCGGAGGTGGTGCTGCTGCTGCTGCTGAAGGAAGCAGCAAAGGCAACGCCGCCGACGATCTGCCGCCGCCGCAGCTCAGGCTGGAGGTGGACAGGGAAGTGTACAGACCCGGAGATCCGGTGACTATAACCGTCGAAATCAACAACCCTACTCCTTCCTGCTCGCTTCTGATCGAGAGGCTCGGGTTTGAAATCAAAGGGATCGAGAAATTGGATACTCAGTGGTTTTGCACGGCCAAACCCTCTGCTGACTCCAAGCAGCGCAGGGGTTTGTTTCCCTCTCCCTTCCTCCTTATATCTATATCTCTATGTACTTGCATTCATGACTTTCGCCTTGATTTGCATGTTGGAACTTGGAGGTTACTGATATGATTGCATTTTAGATGTGTATTTAATTTGTAATTGAGGTAATGTCTTGGCTCTTCTGTAGTTCTGTTGCCTGATTAATGGGAAAATGCAAGTGATAATGGATAGTTGGAGTGCATTGGATATGCTCTGCCTGAATAATGCAATATGCTAAGAAATCCAATTATTGGAGAGTTACATACCTCTTATAATGTTTGTCCTACTGGAAACATACAGTAACTTAAGAACTCAAACAAAAGTAAGTTATATGCTTTACTATCTTATTTCACCTGGATATTCCAGGTAAAAAAAAAAAAAAAAAAAATCAAAGAAAGACCAGTTCAAGAAACAATTAGCCAAATAAGTAGAAAATGCATTCAATGATGCTTTAAAATTAGATTAAAAAGTGGAAGAATATCCCTCTGGCAGGACCTAGGAAATCACCTCATTCCCATGCATATGTTAAGAACCTGTTCTTCCTAGACATCACTCTTCAGTGAATGTCCACAGAAACATTGACCCCAATGTCACATGCTGAGCAACCCAGTCGTGATCATTGTGGTTATATTGATTGAAATGTATATAATGTAAAGGATGGTAAGATGAATATTTCTGAGCATACATATGGCCAAATGGGTTTTGCTATTTAAGCCCTATGTTGCCTTGTGTCATCTACTATATTACATGGTAATTATCAGAGGTTGTTTCACAGAAGTTGTCTGGAACATAGGAAAATGTGGAGACTGGAAAACAGAGTTTTGATTAGAATTACAATTACCAATTAATTAAAATATATATATATATATATATATATATATATATATATATATATATAAAATAGAATATAAGAAGACTTGCATGTCATAGGAATGAAATTTGGAAGAAAAATACATGGATATTGAAATGCATTTGTACTTTAACTTATGCAATTTTTAGAATCTATCAAGAACTCCCATTTATGATGCTCTTGTATCTTAAAAGCATACTGCTTTCATACGTGGATGAAATGACCTCAAGTTATTGCTTGTAGCATCACTGAACTCTTTCATTTACCATGATCTCACATGTCAAAACTCAAAAAGTAAAGAGTTCTAGAGCTTATTTTGGGCCCCTTTGACTCTAAAAAGTAGAAGCTATGCCAAACACAAAATTTAAAAGAGTTTTTAAGGCTAGAATGCTAGATAATAATGAAAAGCCGCTTTTTCAAGAAACCTCAAAGTTGTGGGTTGTTGACAACGACGCTTAAGCTGGGCCATACTTGTGCTTACATTACATATTTATCATAAATATGTGTGTGTTTATATAGGTTGCTAGGCCTCCCTTGGATTGATATTTATGTTTTTTTTTCCCTCTCTTTCTCTATCTCTCACTCTCTTCTTCTTCAGGTGAGTTTGTTTTCATGGACTACTTGACTCCTGCTTTAGTATCAAATAAAGTTGTTTGTTCCGGGGCAACTGTAAAATGTAAGTCTTTATTCTCTTTTTAAAGTTTAAATGTTTGTCTACACTTGTATTGTGTGATAGGCTATTCTAGATTATGTTGGGATTCAGTGGATGAATTGATTTTAAGTTTCTTGGAGACTGATTTACAAAATGAATCAGTTTGCTAGAGGGGGATTAACAATGCTAATGCTATGCTTGCATTCAATTTGAGTTAGTAACCTTCATAGTACCTCTTGATTAGCATTAGTTTATTTGAACCATCTCCTAGTAGTTAGATTGTGACAAAGTAAAGGTACTCATTTTTTATCATACAATTTTAAAATGGTGTTTTTCAATTATTTTTCTTCTGAATTTGATATGTACTTTATTTTGCAGTTGTGGTGCGAACTTTTCTGCCAAGCATCATACCGCCATCATACAGGGGTGCAACCATCCGCTATTTGTACTATGTTAGAAGTACATTACGTGGGCAGTATTTGCTAGTAGGGAATGGACACTTCCGTGAAGAATCAATTAGAGATGTTGCAGAGCTGGTTAGTTCCGTCTGTCATTCATTACATTGTTTCAGTCTTCTGCAGTGACCTTTTTTATGAGTATGCTTTCTATTTTATCCTATGATATTCAATATGGCCTTGGCTTCCCATCCTTTATTTTATTCTGAAGATGTTAGATGGCTGTACTATGAATAATTACATAAATATGCTTTTGCTGCGTTATTCATCTAGCATTGTTCAACAATGTGAATTCATAGTTATCCATTTCGTTATGTGGACAATCTAGAGTCTGTTCAGCACTTAGGCTTCAGCCTTAATTTATTATTCTTTAAGCACTTTGTTACTATTCTGTCTAGTGGTTTATGCATCTTAAAGATCTTAGGGAAAAGTTCTAGTGGAGTAAAAATAATCCTGTAGCATTCACTTCAGCATTATTATAGCATGCTTGAATGCTTGATGAAAGGTCTCAGTCCTTACTATTAAGACTCTAATAGTAGCTTCAATTTTGTAATCCAAGGTATATATTGTTGTATGAATAGAACTTGTGCAGTTGTGCCTTCTCTAAATGAGTATGTATTAAAAATAATAAAAAAATAAAAATAAAAAGTGAGTGAGAGAACAAATATCTTCTTAAGCCTTTTGGTTTGTGAAAATCAGAGTTATATGTTTTTCTCTCACCAATTTTTAATTCCTTGTTCGTTGTGAAAGTTCTATTTTATTATTTTCCATTCTTTTGTTATATATGGCACTGTGAATTAGTGCAAGCTGATGACTAATGCATTTTTCACTCAATCAAGGGTGGAATAAAAGCTGATTGCTGCTTTATATGCTTCTTTGAGCACTAGTGGCAACATTCTTTTAAAACATGTTTTCTTGCTTCCCTTCTGTGTTTCTAGTTCTGGGAAGTGCTTCCTTCCCCCCCCTCCCCCCCCGCCCCACCCAACCCCAACCCAACCTACACACCTGACAAATAGTTCTAGTTGAGAGTGTTCAATGAACAGTTGTTACCTCTTATAAAAATATTTAGTTTAGAAAATGATGATAAAATGAGTTTGAAGTGTATAATGTGAAAACCATACTCAATCTTAGTTTTCTTGTCTACTCTTGTCATCTAACTTTGCCAAACTTTAATTCATCCAGGAAACCCGAATACCATTGCAGATATGGGTGACTCAGAAGGGTAATGGCTTGCAAAATGACGAAGGTGAAACTGATGGTAATTCTCTCTTTTTCAGATGCATCGTTTAATATTATGTAGAATTATCCTCCATAGCATGTCTTTCAGGACTCATTTAAAATGCAGATTGAATGACTAAATTCCAATTGCATGGACAGCAGTCAGAAAAGTTATGTTATCAATGAAATTTGAGAGTAGTCTTTTAATTCGTAGTGGATAATCAAAAGAATAAATTTTACTTTCACCTGGTGCTTACAAAGTTACAATCTACCATTACTCTGCAGTATGTGCTATAAGATTATTCAAGGAGACAGTAGTTGGCCCTACCTATCTTATGTAAAATAGGCCTAACTTCTTGTTAGGATCTCATTTGGGCCGTTTATATAGTAGCAATTACCCACTGAACACTCTGGTATGTTAGGCTTTCTGAATTTTAACAGTCTGTCACATAACTATTAGGTGTTGTTTCCTTATTAATCATATAGTGATCTCTGGTTGGGGAATCAATCTGGCAGTATATTCATGGTGTGCTTGATGGCTTGAGTTAACTAATAGTCTGAAAATAACAAAATACTTTCGGGTTTTAACTAAGCATAGCAAAATAAACCAGGATGAGTAATGATCTGACTTTGGATGATAGATTTGCAATGTTTAGTGATGATAAAAGTTTTTGAAGTTATTTTACACTTCTATGATCTATCCGCTCTTCTTCACAATCAACTCGAGAGACATGGATATATACTGCACAAATTACTTGATCATTTTTTGGATTATAGTTTAATGATCTTGATTGTTGTTGGACGTGTCTATGGAGTCCAATTTTTTTGTGCATGTTTAAAAATAGCTGATCCAGTGAATGTAATGGTTGTGTATGAATTAGTGATGGAATGGGAATGAAAGCCGATACATGACTACTCAAAATAATCTTGTAGTACCCATTACAAAGCTTTATCTTGTTTCTTACTCATGAGTCATGACCAATTTCACTAAAACGTGATTTTTCTCAGCAAAATGTTTTAACACCTGAATAGCTTAGTGGCCAACTATGTTTTTCCTTTAGTCTAAGCTATGAATTTCATGACCTTTAGGTGCTAATATGTATATCTACATATTTGAGAAAGGTTGCAAAGATGTTGCTTATAATTTGAATATGCACTGGTGCTTTCTCTGGTAAGAATGCAGATGCATGACATCTTTTGAAAAGACTCCTAGGGGGAGCTTACTTGATGCTTTATCATTTAAAAGAATTTCTTTTAGAAAACTATTGATGGTGTTGCTTTCCATTCTACCTACATAAAAATGAATTAATTGCGAGCTTGGTATGCCTACATATAAAAATTTCATGATCCCCTGCTGCCTTTTCTGCTTCATCTATTTAGTCATTATTTTGGGCATATTAAAAATTTTAATTTCCCAAGTTACTGATATCATAAAAATGTTTTGTTTCCAGGAATTGTTCCTACTACAACCATCATGCTGGATGTTTATTGGAAAGAGATGCATGGTGATTCTGAATGGGTAACTCAATTCACTGCCAGTTATATTTGTTTACATGTCTACTTTTATAACTAAAACTCTTAAAAGATTAGTATATGGAGCAAACTAGGAGAAACACAGCTGGGAATTAATTATAAGTGCTAAAACTTGGTGAATATATAAGATGAAAAATACATATGAAGTTTTCTTTGCTTTTCTTCCATTAGGCTTTTCTTCTTCTAGGGTAAGTTTATAAAGGGTCCCACAGCTTTGCCTGATATTTTCTGCTTTACAGGCTAAAGTTAATGAAACTTTTGATGGCATTGAGGACGATAATGAAAGCATGAGGGATGAAGTTTCATCTGTTTCTTCGTACAGTACCATTAAAGAAAATATACACAGAACTTTTGGAAGTTCATTGTCTTTGCAGTCTTCTGCAGCAAGATCTTCACGCAAAGATCTTTCATACCTTGAAGGGCACAGTAGCATTCCTTCACCCATGACACTTCCTCGATTATCTGTGGCTGAGATTTCATTTGATTCAGGTGTTGGTCAGCTACCATACTGTTCTCCTGTATATGGAATTGGCTCTAATATTACTAATTGTGAAATATCTTTCCAGTTTTCTCATGATATGACAATTGAGTGAACTTTTGGTGAAATTCTGTTTCAATGATAATACATTTAGCAGATGTTTTGCCCCCAAGTAAGTCCGAAGCTGTTGCCTTTCCAAGCCATCGGCTGAAACAGGCAAAGCCCTTTTCCCGAGATGATGAATCAACATCACCTTCTGTTTCAGGAACTGGTGAATCTGGAGCATGTAAATCATATTGCTATTAATTATGTATACATTTTTTATTAGCCATTTCCCCCAAATATTTAATTTAGTTATATGATCATAACTAATTTGCTCTGAACATTTTATGCAGCAGAAGGGTTCTATCGAGGAAGATCTTATAACATCAGACTAGATGACCAAGTTCTTCTACGATTTTCTCCAAAAAACTCTGAATCAACCTACTATTTTAGTGATATGGTAATTGTACTGGTTGCTTGTGGACCTTTGCCTGTACTACATCATTGTCATTACCTTTGACTTTTTCCCCTTCTTTTCCCTTTTTTTGACAGATTGGTGGAACCCTTACTTTTTTTCATGAAGAAGGCACTAGAAGATGCCTTGAGGTAATTTCATGTTTCAAAGAATACAGTTGCCGATCCAAAAGATATTTTTTGCACATACATTAAGAAATTGATTCATTTGAGAATTTCTTCTAGCTTTCAATTACACTGGAGATGACAGAAACTATAAGTCAACGTTTTGTCCATCCTTCAAGAAGACACGCTCCTTCTATTACTAAGGTATACTTTTTGAGTACTCAATCTCAATCCATTCATTACCTTGATGTTTGATCTATCTACAATGGCAATGCCTGTATATATAGTGTATTCGCGGATAACTAATATTGCACACAGGTTAGTGCACTATTATATATCCTGAGTGCATTGTCAATTATCCATGGATGCACTATCAAGCATTTCAATATGTACCGCTCTAATTACGGAAATGACACAATGTTTTTCCTTAATTTCCAGCCCTTGATCTACTGGATGGATGAGATTAACCACTTTTTACATTGGGCATGTGTTCTCACATGATCCTTCCTCCCTCTCTCTCTCTCTCTCTCTCTCTCTATATATATATATATATATATATATATATATATATATATATATATATAGAGAGAGAGAGAGAGAGAGAGAGAGAGAGAGGAAAATTCTGATTCTAAGGTGTTGATCGGCACCCATGACTCTTATACCTAGTACCACTCCAAAGTGAATGGTGAAGGCTTTGAGTTTGTACCGGATACAAAGTCAACATTGTCCCCACACTTCTTTTACTTTGAGTTTGTACTGGCTATGATAGTTTGAACATACTTAGACAAAATATCAACCATCACTCCAGAGGAGAATAGCATCCAGATTCTGGCACCAAGTGAAAGAATTTACATATTCATCTCTTTTTGGAGGATGATATAATAGTGTGTTCAATTTGATTTTTTGGATGAGAAATTCATGTCTGCTTTAATTTCTTGAAGCAAACAATTTTAACTGTTGCTAAGTGCTAACATTTAGAAAATGCCTCTCTGACATTCTTCATCCTTTGCATTACGATATAAAAATCTGTATCTGTTTTTCGACTATGCCTACAGCCAACATGACTTGATCAAACCATTTCCAAGGGTTAATGCAAATGTAGTAACAACGCTACTAGACTATAGGTTTTATTAAGATTATTGTCATGCTAATTGTAAAGAAAAGAAAAACTTAAGCTTTGATATACTATGCTGTAAGCACTTGAAATATCTTACAGTATTCTGTCATTGTTTCATGTCTTATCACAGGTTCATAGTGATCATTATGAAGTTGTCGCAGACTTGGTGCAGACAAGCTTCCTCTTCTCCATTCCTATGGACGGGCCCATGTCTTTTTCAACTCGCTATGTCTCTGTGCAGTGGGTTCTTCGATTTGAATTCTTTACAAGTCCTAAAAATGTGGACTGGACTAGGTAAAATAAATTCTTCTTCTACATCATAATTACTCACTATATAGAATAAAACATAGGACTTAGATGACATATGATTATTCCTCTAAAAATCTTCTTGGTGGCCTTCAAATCAGATTTGAGCATCCTCTTTTGATAGATGGAAGAGACAAATGTGAGTGGGTTCTTCCAATAACTGTGCATGCGCCTCCAGCTGGCGCTGCAGCAATTCAGGCGCAAAATGACAAGTCCTTCTCTTTGGATCCCCTATGGATACACACTTGAGGGTAAAATGAAGTTGCTCACTTGCACTTGATATAAGTAGTTGTCTTGATTAATTGTTAAAGGTCTGATAATACCTGTTTTCTTTAGGTCTCTCTCTCTCTCTCATTTAGACAGACACATAAATACATTCTCTATATCTCTCTTATATGCTCACTTACACAGACCATCAAAATTGTTGTAAAAACTTCGACCACAGAACCACTACCAAGTTATGCTATCAAGACTGTCGCATGAAATCTAGGAGCATTATATTATTCTTCTTTCGACAATGCTGTTTTGACAAGTATGAAAAATAGCATGGTTCAATCTACATGGCAAGAGTAGAAAGCTTACAAAATGAGGCACTAACCTCAAAAGCCTTTAGCCTTGTAGTCTTAACTCTTTGCACTTGAAACTGATACCATGATTTTCACAACTCAAATTATAATACAAGTAGAAAGCACATAAAACGCTAAGACTGTCTTGAAGAACGTGCTGCCAGTTATGAAAAACTGTGAGAGAGGAAATGAAACATTAAGCACACTTGATTCCTGGGGCTTTAATGCTTTATGCATCTTGAAGCGGGGAAGAGATGGAACAAGTATTAGTGAGATCCTCACAAGCTGCTTTTGAACTTAGGACAATGACAATCTTTACTTTTTGTTGCTCTGAGGGGTTACTTTACACAAGTTTGTATTCTCCCCTGCTTTGTGATCCGTCAGGTCCTGTTTTAGCTGAGGTCGAGTGCATTATGGTCACATTGATGATTGATCACCCATGTTGGTGCCCTATTGCTCTGGATGTGTTTGATCAAAACCCTTGTTTCTTTTGAAGGGGCCGGCTTCTGGAAATGCTGATTCGCCTTTCAATTTTCTTTTGGAGATTCTTGGTAAAATGCACTGCAGAGGGGCAGCAAAGCTTTCATTTCAGTTGTAGGCCTTTTCATGGAATCCTTGATCGTTGGATGCATTCAGTGCCTTCTCCTTTAGTGTTCCTGTAATGTGTTGAGAGAGATTCATTTTCTCCCTTTTTTCTTTTGTTTTGTTTTCCATTTGTTTCCGTAATCTCATTTTCATTTTTTTTAAGAAGTTTTTATTTGAATCTCTTATCTATCTGTCTCTCACAAATCACAGTCCTATTTTATTTTAATTTTTCAATGGTTTTTTTTCTTTCTTTCTTTTTCCTGTATCCTCTTTTGTGAAAAATGTTTTAAAAGCAGCAACTCAAATGTGAGAATAAGTAACGCAAGCAGAGAGTTGGGGTTTTTCTTAATGTATGATATTAGTAATATTAAAAACTATGTAGTAGTGGTAGTAGTATTCCTTGATCAATTAACGCTTTAAACTCTTTCCTTTAAAATTTCCCCATGCTGTTCCCAAATTTGGCAGTATTTTAAGATTACAGCACCTCTAGTTTTAGTGCTGAATAGAGATGACAATTTCAGGCGAACTTCAGTCCTCTCTCGACAGAAATTGAGATTTTCTTTTCAGTTACAGTGCTGTTTTTTTTTTTTTTTTTTTTTAAATTTATAATTTTATATAATGAGACAATAAGCTAAAGAGTTGAGCAAATTTAATAATAATAATACTACTAATAGTTAATTATATTTTAGTCAATTTTTATTTTTATTTTATCATTAAATTTAAATATTTAATATAACAATAATAATAAGAGTTGAGTTGCCTTATATTTCTAGGTCAGTTGTCACACTTAAAAGAGGTGTTTACAATTCAGTGAGTGGATTACCCTGTTTGAAAATTTTGCGTACACCAAAAAAAAAAAAAAACTATTTTATTAGAGGGCGTGTATTATATAGATTAGCACTCAAATGCGGCAGTGGCTTATGGTGCGGCGGTGCGACATTATCTCTATCCTCAAAGCTTTTCAATCTAACGGTAACGGCTAATTACTGAAGATTTGAATATTTAAGCGCATTTTGGTATGTGGGGGAGGAGGGGGGGGGGGGGGTGTTATAGTAATTATAATGGCCATTTATAGCGGCCGCTTGACATAATACAAACAGTATTAACAAAAGACACCAATAGTGTTAGGAAAAACATAACAATGAAATGCACAAATACACCATAAAAACACACAACACACCAAAAAAAAAACACCATATAACTCTCCACCCCCAATGGTGTATTTCCGAACACTGTGTGGTTCTTTCATAACATGGATGGTGTATATTTGTATAACGACGTCGTTTTTGCAACTATGTGCACCATGTATGGTGCACACGGTTGCACAGCATAACGCTCCTTCGCGTTGTGGGAGAACGTGCGTGAAAATATTGGAGAAACCTTGATGAATGTGATTCATCGGATTTATCTAATTTAATGGCCTGCAATTGACCGCACCGCCGCACCTAACAATACTGCCGCACTTGAACTCCCCTCGTATTATACATATGTATTGCTTTGTATTTTGAATATTCTTGTGCATAATGTATTTTTTTGACATATGATTTATTAATTTAGAAGTAACTTATTAAACTCGCAATTATTAGTTATATTTGTTTTTAATGTTTGTATATAGTAAGGATATATTAGAGATTATAAAAAAATTTCTAGAAAAGTGTAAACATGTTAATTAATTTTTATTTAATTTAATTGTTATGTTTTTTGGGTTATACCAAACTTGTTAATTAATTTTTCCTTGTAAATTATTCTTATCAAACATATTCCATGGAAGCATTTTCAAGGGAATTTAATTGATGGGTAAGAACCAATCGGCCTCTAAAAGTGGCTCTTATGTGAGACCGTCTCACGGATAGATATTCGTGCGATAGATCGAATCAAGATGAAAAATGCAATATTTATACTAAAAAAATGTAACACTAATCAAGAATAAAATGTTTTGTTACTTATAAGGGAAAATGTAATACTTTTAACTCAAAATGTAAAAGTATTACATTTTTCATCAAAAAGTATTATATTTTCCTTTATAAATAACAAACGCTTTGTACATGAATAATATTACATTTTTTTCAATAAAAATATTACATTTTCATATTGATCAGACTCGTCTCACAAACAATGACGATCTCACATTAGTTTTTGCCATTTTATAATAATTTTTGTAAGAGTGTATTATGAATGTTGCCTATTTCATCATATGTTTTCAATGGAAACCTAAGAACTCAACCCCTAGCGATTATGATTTTTTTATGAGATTTCCATTATGCGTTATATTACATATACTCATCTTATATAAAATTTTAATAAGTGTACATGTAACAATAAATAATTTCTTATTTTTATTAAAACTGATATCTTAGTGGTGAAGGAAAATAAAAGCATATATATATATAAGCATGTGCGTTTAAAGAATGTATTTATAATTTTTATTTTTAAAAAAAAAAAAAAAAAAAAAAAAAAGAACTCCGGAATGGCTAAAATCAATATATCATGTCCTATGTAAATGGTTATTCCCCTACAAAGGAAATAACACATTCTTAAGAATGTTGAGAATAAAATATTTAAACAAATAATGAAATATGTTTATTTTTAGAAATGTTATTTCATTTATAATAACAAGAGGTCCGAAAATGATCTTATTATTGATTATCCATGATGTATAAGTAATGATTAAGATATGTATTTATAAAGATACAAAGAATTTTAGTCAGAATAAAAATGATAAATGATAATGTTCTTAATAATATAAGGAGAACAAAAATGAATTTTAGTGTACGTAAAATACAAAATTCTAATACCATTCATAGCTTATTCCATGAATCAAACCTATTGTAAATATTTTAGCAGAAGAAAGACAAAGTATTTGAGTGTTCTTTCTTCTAGTTTTACCATGATGACAATACCAAATGATATATATATATATATATATATATATATATATATATATATATATATATATATATATATATATATATATTAAAAAATCACTTTTAATCCCAAAAAATCTTTTTTTGAAGAGAAGAGAACCAAAAAATCTTTTATTTTTCTTTTTTATTTAAAAAAATTATTTTATCCAAAATTATTGGAAGGAAAATTAACAAACAAAATAAATATACTGAACTCCTATTCCTGCGCGGATTAGAAGCAGGGGAAGCCAAATGCAATCAGAACAATGAATGACACAGATCATGATAAGAATGGAAGTTGATGTTTCTATATCTTATATCTACTCTCCGCACAATCCTCGCTCCTTTTCATTACGATTGCAGTTTATGTAAATTTCCAGAGCGATTTTTGAGGGTTTGAGATTCGAAGAAACGATGAATTTCCGGGAGCTTTTCTTCTTGTTGTGCTTAGGGTCTCTGATGGCCTCCACGGCGCTTGGAGAGGTCGTTTTAATCAGCAGAAACGGTACTTTGTCATTCGGTGACATTGAAGCTAGCTTTGGTGCGTTCTCCAGAATTCTCTCCGTAGTTTAATTTCGTATTTTGAAATATCGGTTCGTTGTTTATTGGTGTTTGAGAAGTTGAACCGTTTTGTTTCGTTTAATTTGTGTGGATTTTCGGAAATTTGAGGCTTTTTAGTAGGCTGGTGAAGTTAAATCGCAAACCTGATGGTTGAGTTTTTTGTTTTTGTTGGGAGACGCAGAAAATCTGTAGCTACTATTTGAAAGTATGTATTTGTGATCATAGTTGGTAAATGACCACAAGAATGTAAATCAAATTTGGTTGATATATTTGATTAGTTTAAACCAAGATGGTCAATGGCCGCTTGCAGCGAGACTCGAACTTAGAATCTTAAAGATCAACTTGGTTAAATTGTAAACCAACTTAAGTTGCTATGATTAACTAATTTAAACCAAAAAGGTTGATAGGCCGCTCTTACCAGAATTCAAACTTTAAACTTTAGGGTTATCAAGCCAACAATCTGGCCAACATAATTAAGTTCTAAACTAGTTTAGATTGCTATGATTAACCAACTTAAACCAAAAAGATTTATAGGTGACTTCTATTAGGAGTTGAATTTAGAACCTTATGATTATCAAATCAACAATACCTACCAACTAGGCAAGGTTGCCCCCACCTTGATGGTTAAGTTGTCTTGTATAAAACTATATATATGTATTTGTATTGCACAGGTTGGAGCTCTGTTTGTCTCTTTCTAGCATCAAATTGGCTATTCTGTTTTCTTTAAATATTATATTAACTGTAGTTGATTTTCCTTTCAGCTCCCCCAGTAGAGGAACCAGAGAAATGTGGGACACTGTACATGGCTGAGCCTTTGGATGCATGCTTGCCACTTACTAATAAGCTTGATAGTGTTAACAACAGCACCAAACTTCCATTTGTGTTGATAATCAGGGGAGGATGTAACTTTAAGGATAAAGTCAGAAGAGCCCAAACTGCAGGGTTTAAAGCAGCCATAATCTATGACAACGTATTCGGTGATTTGGTTGAAAGTAATCACTCTTCCGCTGTCAATTTTTCTGCTGAAGTATTATTTCTTTCATGTTTATTAAATTTTATTTAATTGTGGAGCCATCTGTTGCCCCTGTGGTGCCCCATATGCTCACACATTAACTAGTATCTCATTGGTTCAAGGACTTTGAGCCAAATAACCATTCTGAAAAAGTAGAACCCCTGCCCAAGAGTCACTGGAGGAGGCCAATGGCCTAAACTCTAGTTTCCGTTAACTTGGGGAGCCTAATCTAGGAAGCCCAATGACCCAAACTACTCTAAGATGTTGGTGGGAGTGGTGACTTTAGGTCAGGTGGTTTACCACTTGAGCTAGCCTCACGGGGGGCTATATACATCTATCTTCCCTAGCACAGCCCTTCAAACAGGCACTTTCCTCTTATATCCCCCTCAGTTTCCTCTCCCAAACAACCCCAAAATGAGGCCCTAAACTTGCTGCCTAATCATCATAGGCTAAATGGACTGTAAACTTTCCCCTACCTTAGTTATCAATGGCATCCACTCCAGATGTTCATACTGTGACTTTCTTATAGTATATGTTATTATGTTCAGTTTGCTTTTCAGTTTGTGATTATGAACTTGCATCAAAATCATATTCTAACCTAGCAAATTCTAGTGGCAGGGAGTTCTTCTGGTATAAAGATACCTGCTGTCTTTGTTTCAAAAGCTTCAGGATTAGTCCTTGCAAAGTATGCGGGTGACTCTGACATCGACTTATGGATAGTACCAAGCCTTGAGGCTTCAGCATGGTCATCCTTGGTCATAGTGTTCATTGTATTCTTTGCAATGTCAGCTATGGTGGTCGTCTACTTCTTTGTTGGGAGGTATAACCGAAGAAGAGAGAGACCTAGACCTAGACGTGTTAGAGAAGTTCACGGGATGAGTAGCCGTCTGGTAAAAGCCATGCCAAGTTCAATATTTACAGTGGTTGTCGAGGATAATTGTACTTCAACATCATGTGCTATATGCCTTGAAGATTATAGCATTGGGGATAAGCTCAGGATTCTGCCATGTTCTCACAGTAAGTCTTAAAAGATATTTTCATATGTTTCATCATATATCTTAATTTAGCTAAGTGTATCTAGCTCTTTTTTTGGATGACGTTGGGTGTAGGTAAACGGTAAACCCCGCCTTGTGACCCTATCCGGCAAAGGACCACAAGGAAGTAAATTTAGATTACCCATAGTTAACCGGCTCAAACCAAGGGAGCAAGAATTCAAACTCGTTTACCAAACACTTTAATTTCAATCAATTAACTTATTAGCTATTAGTTTTTCAGCTAGGTGTGTCAAATAACTGTTTGGTAAAATAGTTAGCCTATCAGTCAATTTTAGCTTATTTGACTACTATTAGCTGCTTATTTGACTACTGTTAGCTGTTTGATTTGGTTAAACAATCAATACAAGTATTGTAACTTATTACTACAAAATGCTAAAATTCAAAAAGCTACTTAAAGTAGCTTTTTCAATCAGCTTTTTAAGAAAGTCATTTTGTATGTAATCAGCTAACAGCTAATTTACCAAATACTTTTTTACAATCAGTTAATGTTATCAACTAGTCAAACTCACTAATCCAATTAGCTAACAGATAAATCAGCTAACAGCTAATTTACCAAATACTTTTTTACAATCAGTTAATGTTATCAACTAATCAAACTCACTAATCCAATCAGCTAACAGATATTTACCAAATACCCCCTTTGTCTCGTATGTGTTCCTATCTCATACTACATATAATTGGTTTGGTGAATTGTGACATATGCTTGTCCTAATTTTGACAGAATTTCATGCTATATGTGTGGATGCTTGGCTCACATCATGGAGGTCCTTCTGCCCTGTTTGCAAGCGTGATGCTAGAACTAGAGTGGGTGAACCACCAGCATCAGAATCCACACCATTACTTTCATCAACGTCTTGCTCATCTGTTAGATCAACATTAGCAGCAGCAGCAGATTCGCGACCTCAGTCGCTTCATTCTTCATTCCACCAACTACCCCATCCCAGTACAAACCAGATCTCAATAGACTTTAGAAATGCATCTTCGCGGAGATCGCCACATGCTTCTTATTTAGTTTCACCTCACTCATTAGGGTTTCAGTATCCTTCCTCATCATCTCTGTATCCAAGTCATATTTCTCCAGGCAATGCTTCTTCATCAAGTTTTATTGTTTCTCCAAGTCAGCAGCCAAACCCACTGCAACGCAGCGAGTCTAACGCAAGCTTTTCCCCATTCGCCTCGGCCCACTCTCTTCCAGATTGCCAAGTCTAGCTTGCCAGAGACTTGCAGGGATGATTATTGGTACATGAAGAACCATTGATTTGTATATTCTTCTTATATATCTATTGGTTTTAGTTTATAATAACTATTGCACTTTCTAGTCTGACAGAATTCATATCAGCTTGTGTATATGACTAGGGCAGAAAAATATAAAAGCAGTTTTCTTCAAGATGAATGTGAAATTGTGAATGATGCAACTATTTCCTTGTATGGTTATCAAAAGGTGATCACAAAATAAACAACAGCTGAACAGCAGCAGCAATAAGAATAATAACTAAATACAAAATCTGCTGGTTTCAAATTTGAATTTTGCTGTGATTCAAAAAATATGTATCCAACTTTGAAAATTGAGTATTTAGAGTCGAAAACAATGAAAGCAATCAGTTTAAGTTATATAGCTAATGAAGTTTGATATACAATACTCATTAAGGGTGCAGAAGCGAATTATAAGAAGTACGCTAATCAGTACCGAAGAGAAGGCAGTGCAGAGTACATTGTGATGTGATGTAAAACTATAAGAGCTTCTCCAAGTCGAGCTCAACAAACGAACAAGGGTCTGGAATGTCGAAGTTTGCAAGGACCTGAATCCACAGACGTAAATTCAAAAACACAATCAGAATAATATAATCCCATTAGGAAATAGGACTTCAACTGTTGATGAAGGGCCAAAAATCAGTAATGTTTGGAACTGAGGTTTCTCTTGGCAGTGGACATTCCATTATACAAAATTGTCAAAATAACTTAATAAGAGATTCATTAGGAAAATGGAGAATTTACAAGCGCAATGTTGTATCCATTACGAGATAGCAGGTCAATTCTTTTACAAGTTCAAGAAAACAAATTGTCATTATCGGCCAACCATAGAATCTGAAACTGCTGAAAGTGTTTACTAATTAAAACCACAAGGGTTCTTTTCTCCGTGATATCCCTTTCTCTTGCTTGCACCATTTTACAGAAGTGCAAGATAAGTTGGTTTCCTTGTATCTCTTCCAAATAATTATAAAAATGTGTTCTTTACTTATAAAAAAAAAAAGTGTAACATCATATACTGATTCTGTCATGAGCTTAATTGAAGAAATTAAATCAGAGTTAAAGTGGAAAAACTTATTTAAGAGTTATTTTAAATCCTTGAAGACTGTAAGCCTTGAGATTATTTATAAAACCTTTACCATCTAATGGAACAGTCATATCATGTATGTAAGTGTAAATGTTTTAAAAGTCTGGTAATATGGGAAGGTGTTCCTATAACCTAAAGATACAAGACTTTCTAAAAACAATAGTGCTTGACAGAAAATTCCATCATCTAGGAAAGAATTCAATAGTTAAGGAGCTTTCAGTGATGACTGGCTCCGAGACATTGCATGATTTTGAAAATCAACTTATTCACCAACAAATACCATTAGATGAAAACATATGTACCTCGGGGTGCACAATGCCAAAGTTACCAATGTGCTTTCCTCTGCAAATGACTCTTGCTTGTCTTCCTTGAAGAAGCTCAGGCTCCTATGAAATTAACAACTGTGAGTACTTTGTCACAAGGGCAAGAGAGATTTAAAAGCAACCCATGACAAAGGGAAAAGCGTACATCTGAACTTTCTATGTAGTAGCCTGAAGTATTGCCAGGTGTTACAAATGGAGTTGCAGTCACTTCCATTATTCTATCAACTAGACCATGTATTAGCTGCAAAACAAAAGTGTTTAAAAGATCTGGTAAGTTGAATGGAATCATTTCAGAATAAGATATTTATCAACACTTTTATTTATATTTCTTTTGATAAATTTTATTGTGGATGGTGGAGATGGGATTCAAACCCAACTCTAATTAGTCTGGTTTGGGCCTTAGCTTATACCTAGGGCTGAACTTGGTATTTCCCAACTTCAGAGCTTCATTTTAACATGTTAAAGGTGACAGTATGCAAGAGAAATAGTGATTCCATATCAAACAATATTTTAAGATACAGTGGAAATGACAGATGCAATAGAGTGATAGACAAAATTACAAGTCCTGGTGCACTATCATCACTTAAGGTCATTTGAAAAGGACTTGATCACTTGGGAGACATAAAATACAGAGACAAGAACCAAGGACATTTAATTTATATATATATATATATATATATATATATATATATATATATATATAGACACAGAAAATAAAGTGGAATTTATACCTCAAATCCTGAGTTGGCACCGCAATACAGAGCAGCAAGGTGACGACGATTAATTGCACCAACATCCTTAGTGTTGTCCAAGAAGACTACATCCCCTACTTCAAATATCTAAAATGAAAAAAGCATCAGTTTAATGTTTCACACACAAAAGCCTTCATCAATCAAAATAGATACAAAATTCAAGGCAGCAGACTGCATGAAGATTTTGGCAACTCTATCCGGTAAGTTTGTACTTTGTAATCATAATGTCCACCAATCCAAAAAAAAAAAATCACAATGCGTCTAATAAGTTACTTTTCTCATACAACTATGACACTGAACATCACTTCTCTTTCAAAGAAATTTGAAGCAACAAAATCCATAGTAATCAAAAAGAAAAGAAAAAAAAAATCATTTCTTACACATTATGCTATAAAATTATACTGAGAAATAAAGAATATAGGTTGAGTTGGAATTTCCCAAAACTCAGCATGTTATTTCACAGTTTTTCCTTTCTTTATTTCTCTAAAGTTTTTCAGGTTATAACAGATGCATAATATTTGTTTGAACTATAATATTACATATGCTACCAACTTATGATAGAACAAAAGATACTGCAAGTTTATGAACCTTTTAAGAATGTTTTGAATCAAATCCCATAAGACATGTAAGGAGAATAAAAAACAAACTGAACCCAAATTTCTGGGTCCCACTTCTGAACCCAAATAAATTCTGCTAACCTATGTTTTTCTTTTTTGATGCTGATGATGATGAGGGGGGACCAAATTTAGCAGTTTCAAGTATAGGTTTTATGGGCACTCAAATGTAGTCCATATCTTCAAAACCAATAGTGCGTATATAGGAGCAGTTTCAAGTGTAGCCATAACAAGGGCTTGTGCATCAAGTAGTAAATTATATTTCAAGCGTAGTAGCTAATTTTCCAGCCTCAACCAAAACAAAAGGAAAAGGTAAGTTAACTTGGTTAATAACTTACTATGTTTTGACCTTTAAATTACTTTTCTTTATTTTATACATTAACGTCTAATTTATTAGTAGAACATAAGGCTTCATAGCATTACAGTTCAATGAAGTTGGATAAGATGAATAGCTTTAAATTCATAGGTATGAACTATAACCTTCTCCTAACGTTCATTAAGAAACTGCCAATAAAAGCCAATGGCAACGATGGCTATAAGTATAACAAATAAGGAAATGAGCAATGACAACGATGGCTATAACAAATAAGGAAATGAGCAAAGTAAATGCCAAATACCTTTATAGGTTTCGGATGGTCTTTATTGTGTCCAACAGTTTTCAATATGCCTGGCATTAGACGTGTCCGCACAACCTGGTAAAGATATGACAGAAAAATAAAAATAACTGTAAATGTCACAAGATATAATGGCAGTGGCAGAAGTAGTGAAGGGAGCAAGGGAACTAGCACAAGAAGAAATGTTTGTAACAAGCAAGGAAACTAGCATAACAAGAAAAAGCACAACTGTCTACAGATAGGCTCAGATATCTTCCAAGAGAACATTTCCAAAGTTAGTACAAATAGCTAGCAGACTCCCCCAAATACATGCAGGGAGGTCAAAGCTAGATCTAGACATTCAGAAATTAACTTTTCTTATTGTCCTCATTTTCACCTAAACTAATCAAAACCACAGGTAAACCAAGTCACGTAGCCTTTTCCTTCATGGCACCAAACTTTTATCACCACTCCTCAGTCAAAAACCTCAAGATCAAAAGTAAATCCATAAAAACATCAAGGCTTTTGTCTAGCTTTGCATCTCAATCATCACTAGTCTTTGATTTCCTCCCATACTTTCTTCTGCTGCAAACCCAAACCCACCACTAATAGAAGTATAGAACTCCCAATGGAAGGAGAAAAAAATTTCCTGGTAACTATGCAAGCAACATGATCAATATAGCATCTTTTTGTATCTTTTGATTCTTTTCTACATTTAAATAAATGATAATTTCCATTGTTACAAGTGCTAGAGGAGAAGTTTTCAACTAAAGATTTTACATACATGTATAAGCTTCCCAAGACAATTTATACGTCCCAAAACATCATTCTATCAAATTGCTCAGGCTTAGAGGCACTTTGATGCATAAAAAAAAAAAAAACTCAAACCAATGTCTTTACATCTCTTTCTCTGGATAGGACCTGTGAGAATTATCCCATGAGGCTTCTACAGAATTCTACTTAAGAATTGATTTTTGTTTCAGATGTAATAGGAAGCATTAAAAAATATCCTCTTCATCATGGATGTTTTCTTGTTTTGTTCTTTAGTAACAGCAAGGACTCAGATCCACTACCAGTTGCAAGTGTTTAAATTTTCACGAGTTAAATGAGTTGTTTTGTGCAGAGAGCTAACCTCAAACTCAGAAGTACGAGAATCGGCAATTACAACTGCCGAATTATCTTCTCCATGCTTCAGCAGGGAGGCAATTTCTTTTTTAGAACACAATATCCATGTCAACACCTCTGTGTAACCTGCCATTGCAACCTAAAAGAAATATATAAAAGGTTAGTCTAGAGTGAAAGCCGTAAAGGTTGCATGTGGAGATCGAATGTCAAATCGCACATGGAGTACTTACTATTATCAGGCTACATGAGACAACAAAAGGAACAAATTTCTCCCTCACCAATTAGAATGAACTGTCCCTTACCATAATAAATTATTGCTAAGCTTGATGTAGATGATTGTTAACTCTTCAGCATCATGGGCCATGGAAACCCATAGTCCACACAAGTATACAGGTGGTTAAAGGGTTCAAGATTGGATAAGGAACTAGTGGTAGCCGTTCCATGGAAATTTGCAAGATTACAAAGTAGAAGGGGTTATTAGACTGATCCATATACTGCAGGAAAGAAATGGTGACAGAACAGTGTGGGCAGTTGACATGACGGGCTGTAATAAGGCTGTTGCTCTAGTCTTTTATATCATCAGTTTATAACAGGAAGATGGGAGAGATACCCCCCTAGAATAAAGTATGTTTCAGAAGGCCCTCACACTGCAGTAATATTTTTAGAGAAGAGA